ACACACACACACACACACACACACACACACACACACACACACACACTCCTCCTCCTCCTCCTCCTCCTCCAGCATATCTCGACTTCTTCCTGAGGAAACACAGCCCAACTGAGCTTTTCAGAATCATTTCAGAATCATTTTCCAGTCTGAAATCCTGGAGCAAAAAGGGGAATCGGTGTCCAGGGAGCAATTTACAGGACTTCTTTACTTCTCCAGAAAACAGAGGTTGTCCACAAGGGAGGAGAAACCTGAAGGAGTCACAAATAGATTTGAATCTATAGATCTCATTTGCAGACCCACCTTTCCCTCCCCAAAGCATTGTAAATACCGTATTGTATATTGATTAATTTCAGGTTGGCATTTCAGAGTCACTACCTATCTCAATATATCCTACCCTACTTTGTCTGCCACGTAGTCCATTTATATTCTTCCCCTTTGCACAGTCTGTGGGGTATATGAACCCACAGTAATTATGGAAGGCTTGTGTTTTGTCCCCAATGAATATCCAGTCATATAAATTGAATTAATTTTTTTATTGGGAATAATAAGAGGTGAACATGCAAAAGAAATGAAATACTTAATTTTACATATATAATTACTGCAGCAAGAATAGCACTAGCACAATTTGGAAGGGTGATCAGATGCCAACGGATAACTTGATAATCCAGAAGGTCGTCTACTGCTCTGAAATAGATAAACTCACCCAAAAGCTATAAGATAAGGAAGACTCAAAATATTATACAGTTTGGGAAAACTGGTATAATTGGATAAAGGATAGAAACCAGCAAGTAAATAGATAGGGAAGGGAAAATATAAAGAGGTATGATAGGAGTATTTATCAGATACAGGAAATAAGTATTAGAAAATTGTTTGAACACACCATCTAAGCAATTAGAAAAATGTATATGTTTTATGTTTATTGGTCATGTTTTTCTTTTTCTTTTTGTTTTTAACAAAATGTTTTGTACTGAGGAAAGGAAAAAAGAAAACCTTGCCCTTTAAGGAATAGGCAAAGTTCTTTCCTTTTGTGGATTCAAATTTCCTGGCTGGGAGAAATGCAAAATGATTTGGTCAGCTGCATTGAAAGTCAGAATCAGTTTATTAATAGGAAGGCAGGTAAGAAATCTCACAGAGTTCCTAGGATTAATCTAATGTGAGTAGAAAAACCTCTCTTTTATACACTTCAGGTTCCTTGATTTGTAGGTGTGAATCTTTGAAGACTTTGATTTGTGTGTGTTGAATTCCTGTCTCTTTGGGATCTCTTCCTGGGATCTTGGTTTTATGGTCCTGATCCTTTGTATTTGCTTGTTTGCTATCATGTTTCCTTCCTGCCATGCCTTTTGGTTTTCTTTTCACGAGTTTTTATATCTTGCCATCTATTTGATTTCTATGGGAAAGGATCTTAGCTAATTTGTAGGGTTTTTTTCTCTGTATCTCATGCCTGTAATTTTCTCCTTCCTTTGTTGTGAAAAGTAAGCTGGCTCCAGCTATTTTAATAGCCCTACTTGACAAAGGGTGGGGGCTGTTTCCCTAGAAGAGGGGGGAATTGTAACTTCCAACAGTACTATCTATATATCTTTTAATGTTTAATAAAGTTTATTTTTAAATTTTTTTAAAAAAAGAATAAATAAGAATATATCATAATTCCCCTAATAGAAGGGCAAGGAGAACCACCAACACCCATACCCCATTCTTCCCTCTCATATTTCCCAATCATCTATCTGTTTATCCTCCTTCAGACACAAACAGTACTTAGCCTTATTATTAGTCTTCCACAATTCCATGCTCTCCAGCTCAACAGAATTTCAACAATCCAAATTTTCACTGAGTTTAGCCCATGAGCATTAAAATTATTTTGAAATTCTGCATGTCTGGAAGACAATAAGGTATTAGATATGATGGTGATGATTTGTTAATTAAGAATACCTGTGATTCAACTGATTGGGGGTAAAAAAAGACTCCAGTGTCTTCCGGTTGATCAGAAGAAAAGTTTTAAGAATATGGATTTATTTTGCTCTTCATCTTGATAAAGTTAAACATGTCCTCAATCAACTACAGCCCTGATGACCATAAAGCCCATAAGGCAATTTTTTTAGCAGCTGTAATAGAAATGTTTGTCATCTTTGAAACATGCTGTTGGAAGTTACGATTCCCCTCTCTTCTAGGAGAACATTAGAAGGGAAAGGAAAATTCCCCTAAAAGAAAGGAGAGGTGAAAACACAATCAGGGACAGCTCCACTAGCCCCCACCTTTGCATGGGACACACATTAGCTAGGATCTTTTCCCATAGAAATCAAATAGATAGCAAGCTACAAAAAACTTGTGAAAAGCAAACAGCATAACAGGAAACTCAGGATATTGCAACCAGGTGCAAACTGATAGCTACAAAGGATCAGGGAAAAGCAGACTGGACTATAAAACAATTACTCCTACCAAGATCCCAGGAAGAGATCCCAATCTCAAAGAGACAGAAATTCAACACACACAAATCAAAGACTTCACTTACAAATCAAAGAACCTGAAGTATATAAGAGAGAGGTTTTCCTACTCACTTATTAGATTAATCCTAAGAACGTTGTGGGATTTCTTCTTATCTGCCTTCCTATTAATAACCTGATTCTGACTTTCAGTACAGCTGACCAAATCATTTTGCATTAAAACCTCCCAGCCTGGAAATTTGAATCCACAAAAGGAAAGAACTTTGCCTTTTTCCTTAAAGGGCAAGGCTTCTTTTTTCCTTTCCTCAATGCTTTACATGTCTACTCTACAGCCTTAGTACAGGTAATCCTTGACTTACAACAGTTCATTCAATGACCATTCAAAGTTACAATGTCACTGAAAAAAGTGACATGACTGTTTTCCACAGGACCATTCAGCATCATGCGATCAAAATTCAAATGCTTGGCAACTGACTTGTATTTATGACGGTTGCTGTGTCCCAGGGTTGTGTGATCCCCTTTTGTGACCTTCTGACAAGCAAAGTCAATGGGGAAGACAGATGCACTTAACTGTGTTACTAACGTTACAACTGCAGTGATTCTCTTAATAATTGTGGCAAGAAAAGTCATAAAATGGGGCAAAACTCACTTAACAAATGTTTCACTTAGCAACAGAAATTGAAGACTACCTGTATTAGGTGGTCTTTCATCTAAATTCTAACAAAGCCACCATTGCATACAATCCCAATCCCTTACTGCTATATCCTGCTGACATTACACAGGTCAATTTATTGTTATCTCCTGCTGAAATACAACAGCCAATATAAACTACAATTTTCCTACCTCTTTATATCCTATGCCTTGCACTTAACTGAAGCGTAGCAAAGGGAACCAAGAACATCTGACTGAACACAGATCTTGTGGGTGGAATACACTGATAAATATACATTCAGATAAAGATAATAATCAGATAAAAATCTGAGTCAAATCTGAATTTCTTTCTATTAATCCAATGTACCTAATATAAAGGTAGTTAGACTTAGCCTATTGTGATTTTTAAAAAAAATATATTCTGTGTGTGTGTGTGTGTGTGTTTTACCAGACTCTTGAGGTCCAGCCACCAGGATCCACCCATCCACAAAGAGATTCACTTTTTTAGAATTAAATAATTTTGAGTCGATCATTTGTTCCAAAATTGAATGGAGTTCCCTGTTCTTTCACAGAAACATCTCCTCCTGATTCCCCAAATGTTATAAATTCCCAGCAATGCATGTTTAGAAGACTGGGCAGTAATAAAACCGTTGGGAATCAGAATTCTGGCTAACCTTGCACAATTCTTGTGCAATCAAACACAGAAATCATCCAGGCTTATTTGCAATATTTATGAAACAGCACGTAGTGGTCAGACTCCCTCCAAAGAATACTGAAGGAGACATCAGCTCACAAAGGGATACACTGATATTTGCACGTCGCTGAAAGATGGGAAAGACAAATGCATGAGCAATGTACAAGACCGCATACATATGCATATATAAAGGATCTTGAGTTACTCAAGAATCTCAAGTTACTATAGTTAACAGATCTCAAGTTATTTCCTGCTCCTGTTTTCCTTCAGAAATCAAAAGAGAGGAATAAAGCAATAAAACAGGAAGGGAAACAAGAGCAGGGGTCAGTTTGGGAATGACAGATACCAAAAGAAAAACATTTCCCATTGCAAATTCTAGTTGTTCCAATAAGAACAAACTGTGGCCTTATATCTCTATATATCTAACTTGGTTTGATCAATTCCATTCATCTAAGAGCTGATTCCCCCCACCCCCCAATTCCCCCAGATCTACCAGTAGATTCTCATTGAATTCCTCTTAGTCTCTTCTTTAAAATACACATTCTTCACCAGGTAGGCTTAGAGTTACTCTGTTTGTAATTCCCCCTTCTCACAGCTCTTTCAAACAGGTCCTCTCCTCGCCTTCAGAAAGGCTGTTCGAAGAACCAAAGTGTGAAATCTAGGCCATGCTGTGGGTGACCTGTTTTAACTGAGGTTTCCTGTAAGGCTGGCTTGGTGGATAACGGGGACGCTGTGCATGCACACAAAAGCCACTATAAGTGAGAGACGCAGGCAGCAGCTCTATGTGAGAGACAGGCAGAGGAAGTCTTACCCCAACCTCATTCAACACCAACCATCGTCACCTAGTTCA